CCTCCTGCTCCTGCTCCTCCTCCTCCTCCTCCTTTTCCTCCTCACCCCTTCATCCTCCTCCTCCTCCTCCTCCTCCTCGTCCTCGTCCTCCTCCTCCCGTTCCTTCTCACCCCTTCATCCTCCTCCTTCTCCTCCTCCTCGTCCTCCTCCTTCTCCTTCTCCTTGTCATCATCATCAGCAGCATCATCAGTATAATCATCATCAGCCGCATCCTCATCAGCATCATCAGGTTCATCATCATCAGCATCATCATCATCATCAGCACCATCATCAGCAGCATCATCATCATAATCATCATCATGATGACAATCCTCATCATCATCATCATCAACATCATCATCATCATCATCATCATCAACATCACCATCATCATCATCATCAACATCATCATCATCATCATCATCATCATCATCATCATCATCATCATCATCATCATCATCACGGCATGGATAGGGACATGCCCTGGAGCTGCGGGCATGCCCTTATCCATGTCGTCGCGGTTTGGATGCCGAGGCGCGGTCCTGAGGATACCGTTGGTGCCTCCGCGCGGGGCATCCTCATATCCCGGAGTCCGGACGGCGACACTGTGGATATGGATGCATGTCCTTGTCCCGCTCACGATCCCTTCCCTTCTCTCTTCGTCCTCTTCCTCGCTATCGCCCCCATCCTGTCCCCTGCCCTCGGCTCACTGAGCAAACTCGAACTGATCCTCTTCGATCTTCTCGTCGATCCTCCGAGGAGTAAATGCCAACATCCTGAACAGCATCTGGGGAAACACTGATGTTTGCTTCTTCAGGCCTTCCTGGAAGCCCTCTTGGGGGCCTCTTGGGGGCCTCTTGGGCCGTCTTAGCGGCCTCTTGCGAGCCTGTTGTGCCGTCTTCGGCCATTTTGGAGCCATCTTTGGCCGTCTTGGTGGGCGCCTGGCCCGTCTGACGCTGTCGGAAGCCGTCTTGGGAGCCTCTCTGGGCCGACTTTGGGCCCTCTCTGGGTGCTCCAGGTGGAGGCCATCTTGGGCGTCTTGGAGGCCTCTTGGGGCCCTCTTGGGGCCGTCGTGGGGGCCTCTTGGGCCGTTCTGGGGCCATATTGGAGGCCTCTTGGGCGATCTTGGGGCATCTTTGGGGGCTCTTGGGCTGTCTCGGGCCGTCGGAAGGCCGAAAAGGAGCAAATGCCAAAGTCCTTTCAAAACTGATGAGGCCTCTCTGGAGGCCCTCTCGGAGGCCTCTTGGGCCGTCTCGGAGACCTCTTGGGGGCCTCTTGGGCCGTCTTGGGCTATTTTAGAGCCATCTTCGGCTGTCTTGGTGGGCTCCTGGCCCGTCGGAAGCCGGGTTGGAGGCCTCTCTCGGCCGACTTGGGGCCTTCTTGGGGTGTTCCCGGACCGTCTTCGAGGTCATCTTTGGCGTCGTGGATGTTTCTTGGGGCCCTCTTGGGGCCGCCTTGGGGTCCTCTTGGGCCGTTCCAGGGCCATTTGGGAAGCATCTTGGGCGATCTTTGGGTGATCGTTGGGGGCTTTTGGGCCGTCTCGGGCTGTCGGAAGGGCGAAAAGGAGTAACTGCCAAAATCCTTCAGCACTTGTCGAAACACAGCAGCCTTCCTGGAAGCCCTCTCGGGGGCCTCGTGGGCCGTCTTCGGGGTCTCTTGGGGGGCATCTCGGGCCGTCTGCCGTCGTCTTGGGGCCATCTTGGGCCGCCTGGGAGGCGTCTTGGACGTGCCTGGGGGCATCTTGGACCCTCGTAGGCCCTCTTTGAGGCCATGCTGGGCCATCCTGGGAGAACTTGGAGGCCAACTCGAGCCATCTGGGCCGTCTTGGGGGGCCGTCTTGGAGGCGCTGGGGATTTTGTGTCCGCCGCATGGTGCGCACCCCCCTCCGCGTGGCCGGCGCGTTGGGCCGCGGCCCCGAGGGGGAGTTCGGTCCAAAGACAGAGCCGCAGACCAGACCGGTGGGGCCTGGCACGCCGGGCGCGCCCTGTGGCGAGGCCGCGGCGGGGGGCGGCCGGCCCAGCGGCCTTCGGCCAATCCCGCCACCGTGCCTCGGTTTGTCGGTCATAGGCCTCCTTGGGATGCCGTGGAGGGTCTGCTTGGGAGGCCTCTCGGAGGCCTCTCGACGGGTGGGTTCTGGTGTGGTTTGGGCGTCTCGGGGGCCCTTTGGGGGGCTCTTGGGGGCCTGATTTAGGCCTCTCGGGGGCCTCCTGGTGATTCTAGGGGGCACCTCGGCGGCTTCTGGTCCATCTTTGGGCGGCGGGATCCAAATTTCAGTTCGTGTTCCCCCTCTTGGGGCTGTCTTTGGGGCTTCTTAGGCCACCATTGGGGTCTCCTGGGCCTGTTTGGGGCGATCGTGGGCGCCTCCTGGGCCGTATTGGACGCTCTGAAGACAAAGCGGTAATGCATGGCGAAACCATGCGAACCTCAGTGTGTGTTGAGCTTCTTGTGCCGCCTTCCAGGGCGGCCTCCAAGACGGCCCAGGCCGCGCCCAAGAGTGCTGCAGGACTGACCTCGGGGCCATCCTAAGCCATGTTGGGCACGCATGATCCGAACAACGCGCTATTGGCGGCTGAGAACTCACGCAGAGACGGGAGCGCCGGGAACTCCGGGCTGTGGGCCCCTTATAAGAACGTTCGTTGACAATACGTAAAACAGAACTCGCAGGGACCTGGGGACACTCCAACTCTGCCTCAGGGCACGGTGGCGGAACATGAGTACTACTGAATCAAGCGTATTATTGAATCATGAGCTCCCGTAAGTACTAGTGAATCTCCCTCAGCTTATTTGAGCATTACTGAATCATTCGTACAGGATTCGTCCGTATGCCCTACTGTGTGCCTAGTGTGTATTACCGCGTTCCCAGCGTTTCCTATCACATGATCCACGAGCCCAGACGCCGCACTCCCACCCTAACTATCCCTCACTATTCGACTGCGCCAGGGCTAGTATTTAGTAGCACAGGGTAGTGAACAGCACGTGTAGCAGATGTATCTGTATCTGAAGCTCTGCGCCCTCTGGCGCAAGCCCCCAAGGCTGAGCCATATTGAGACGATATTTGAAGCCATGGCTATCCCTGGGGCATTTGGGGGCCGCTGGGGCCACGTCCAGACCATCTTGAACAATATGAGGGCTTTTGTAGTTTTTTTGTCGGAGATTCTGTACTTCACAGTTGGGACATCGTGAGGCACGGCACATGGGTGCCTTTCGAGATTGTATCGGGGTTGCATTGAGCGACAAGGGAGGCACAGTGGGTTAGTTTTGAAGCGATCTCGGAGCATCACGGGAAGACAATATGGAACAGGCACGAGACATTGAACACGTTATGGATTTGCAATCGGTCTTGCCTTGTCGGGGGCATCTTGCGGCCCTTCTCGGTCAGTTTAGTCGCATCTTGGAACCATATTCGGCCGAATTGTGCTCTTGAGGTTCTTTGCGGGGCCTATTGGGGCCGTCTTGGAAGCTTCTTGGGCCCACAGCTGTCCATGAGCGCCCACATGAGAATTCTGAGGCAACTTAGAGCGACCACGATGGTGAAACATACCTCTATTACCGTTGATTTCCCTCGAGCTGTCAACAAACCCACGCCCCCGCTAGACAGTGAAAAGGACACATAATTGAGGAGATAAGAGGCACAAGAGCACAGTGGAACAATCAAGACAGACAGCAGTCCAGTAGCTGCTGCACGCTTCACTAGCAGCTTCTGTATTGCTACTGCGGGGAGAGGGGGAAGGATGAGGCTGAAGGATTACCATGCACGGGAACAGGAAGAGGAGCAGGAGCAGGAGAGGGAGCAGGACAAGCTGAACGAGGAGGATGACGAGGAGGCGGCACGAGGAAGAGGACCAGGGAGGGGGACCAAGCATGTTGGCGGATGAGGTTGCAGGTGGAGCAGGAGACACGGGGAGGAGCAGGAACAGGAGCACTTGCAGCAGCAGCAGCGGGAGGCGCGAGGAGGAGCGAGGAGGGGCGAGGAGGAGCCAAGAGGAGCAGCTGGTCCGAAATCCCGCTTCAATCGGGTCAATCCCGCCAGGTTAGTCCGACTTTATCCCGCTTTCTCCGCGGCCGATTTCGTTGTAGCAACAAGAGCTCCCCAATGAGACCTAATCTCTCTGGCGAAGACCTTCTGGTAGTTACCTCCTAAGAGCGGGATGAGCGAGCGAGCGAAGAGGAGGAGCAAGAGCACGCGGCACGAGGAGGAACAGCAGGAGGAGGAGGAGGAGGAGGAGGAGGCCCAAAGCCCCTCTCCCTGCGCTACTTTTTGAGCCGGCTCGATCCAAGAGGGGCCTTTGGGCTCGAGTCCTGCCGAAAATGCCCGGCTCGGAAATCATTGAGACGTCAGGGTCTCAGGGGGATGCGGCGGAGGCCAAGGTCGGACAGGGCCAGGACGTGTCGGGCGTGAGGCAATGGGGGGTGACCCGGAGGAGGGGGAGGAGGGGGGGAGGAGGGGGAGGAGGAGGGGGGAGGGGGAGGGGGGGGGAGGGGGAGAGGGGGAGGAGGAGGGGGAGGAGGGGGAGGGGGGGAGGAGGAGGGGGAGGGGGGGTGAAGGGAAGGGCCCTGAAGGAGCACTTTGGGGTCCCTTCGGGGCTCCTGCTGGCCCCAGAAGGGGCCCTAAAGGGCCCCTTGAAGGCCCTTCTCTCCACCCCCCATTTGGGCCACCCCCCCATCAGCATCCGCCCGGACGAGGATCAATCCGTTCCAGAGCGTTCCGGAACGCTCTGCTCGCAGAGCGTTCCGGAACGCTCTGAGAAGGCCGCGGCGCCCGAGGCATCCTCCAGAGCCGCCGCATCCCAGAGCTTCTCGATGCATACGCACGCCCGTCTGGGGGGGGGGGGATCGAAATCCCGGTTTGGGGTCCCTGGGGGGGGGATTATGGGGGGGGAACAGTCTCACAAGCCTGGAGACCCACGAGGGGTCGGTGGATTCATACGCACGCCCGTATGTACCTTCGTCCTGGCTTCGTCTTACGGGGGGGGAGCTCCGAGGCCGGCACCATCAAGCTCCAGCACGTCCCCCGCCCCCGCATGAAGATTTGCGTGCTGGGCGACGCGGTGCACTGCGAGCAGGCGCGCAGGGAGCCCTGCGCTTCGTAGTCCCTGCGCGCGACGGAGTTCGAACCCTCTGTCTCATGATGTTCCAACCTTCTGTCGGGGGCGGCAAAGAGGGGGGTGATGACTACGGGGGGGTGGATCTCATGGCGGGGGCCACGATATCTCCCCAGGTTTCATGGCGCCTTGTCTTATTTCAATGCGCCTCTGGCCCCCCCCTGGCCCGCGCACGTGCCGCCGGCCATGATTTGCCCCCCACCCTCTTGGACGCACCCCCACTGGCCGCCCACGATTCAGCCTGGATCATCAGCAAGAGTTTCGAGCACCGAGAATCGAAGGAGAAAAAACGACATAAACATAAACAAAACAAAGTATCGACGCTGGACGGTTTGTACGTGTCGGGCCTTGGGAGGCGATACTCGGTCGGCACCTCGCTGGCGTGTCGGGCAGACATTGTTTCGATACTGCTTTGGGTGTTCGAAGTCATTTCTAGGATGTGGCCCTACAAGTACGATGGGAACAACATAACCCTCGTCCTCGTCCTTCAGATGTTCGGTCGCGAATGGCCCCTGCCAAAGATCCAACGCTCCGCAACAAACATCAGAGCGGCTGGTTTGCGGGCCAGTTTCGGCCTCCAGGGGCCCTCGCCGGCCCCAGAGAAGTGGTCCAGACCTCCGGGGCCCACGCATCAAACAAGAATAGAGCGGCCGGATGTCTGGGCAGGTGTTCGGCCGTGCACGGCCAGGCCCTTGGGGCTGAAGTGGAATTCGACGGAGAAAAGTTCTATTGGAACCTAGCGCGAATGAAGAACCTCCCGATGCGGTGCCCTGAACACTGAGCTCCAGGCCGAGGAACAGGGAAGCGGAAGGAGCGGGCCCCTCCCCCAGGGAGGCTGAAGCCCCCAGGGAAGTGGAATGAGCGAGCCCCCCCCCCCCCCCCGGGAAGTGGGAGAAGGAGAGATCCCCCCTTTCCAGGGCAGTGGGAGAGAGACCCCCCAGGTAATTGGGAAAAGGAGAGAGCCCCCCCCCCCCCCGGGAAGCGGAGGGAACGGAGCCGCTGGCCTGAGCGATGCCCAAGACAGCGACAAGAAACCCGAGACCCACCCCAAGCGCACACAACAACAGCCACTGTCTTGGGTGGTGTTCGTTTTCTTCCCTTTTGTTTTGCCGATCCGCGCGGGCCCTTGCGCCCCCCCTCCCTCCCTCATAGGACGCTCCGGAGCTAGACCCCCCTGCCTCCCACCCCCCTCCCCTTCCGATCAATGTCGAGACGCCGAAGAAAGAACACGTTCACGTAGTGAGTGCTCCCGTTCCGCCAACGCCCACGACCAGGCCAGCCCGCCGCCCCAGAGTCTCCCTCGGCGTTCCAGGAGCTGCCCGACCCCGCGGGGGTTGTGTGTTGGGGGGCGTGCAGCCGGCGAGCACCAGCGCTGGGCGCAACGGGTGTGCTTCCCCTGGGCAGCGTGGCCGCACGAACGCCCGGGACGGAGAATCCGTAGAGTGGAGACCCATGCCAAGAGACACCCTGCTTGCCTCCAGGGTGCCCTGGGTTTTTTGGATTTCGATGGGTTCGCTATGGGAAGCGTGGCGTTCCCACACCAAAACTCAACGGAAGTCCTGGGGTCTCAGGGTTGGTTTTCTTGTGGAAGGTTTCGTGTGGACTGGCCTCTATTATAACGCTGGAACCAGAGAAGGGAGAGCCGCGGGAAAAGCACAGGCTAGGATACCGTCGTGCCCCATTTCGAGCACAAGGCGTAGGAAGCTCTGGTGTACCTTACTGACTACATGGTAGAAGTGGGACGCACCGAAGGTTGGAGGGTAATTGTTCATGACCGCCTTGCCAACCCCCCAACGCACATCGCCTTCGACCCATAACCTTCAGAACCTCTGGCAGGCTGAGACTCGTGGAGGCCCCTGCTCGCTGCGTCAGATCGATTTCAGGCAACTCGATGGGCGGCAGGGGTGTTGGTTAAGAATTCGTCGAACACGTGGCGAAGGCGGACCCCAGCCCCTGGCTCCCATCGATTCAGGAGCATCGTGGGTTGGTTGGGATAGGGTTCGAATGTCGCCGCCTACCGCGGAAGCGGCAGGGCAGTCTTTTTACCTTTCTCACGAAGTGCCCCCACATCTTGGCAAGGACGACCACAGAACGACCCACCAAAACGGTACAGCAAACATGTCACCGAAACGGCCTCGGGAGTCCGAGAATCCGGAGGACACTCGGAATCGGCTCGAGAGCGGTGCCGATCCGGACCGGGCCCCCACCGGGGGACGCGAAAACGGTAAGGCAACGGCGCCAGAAACGTCAAAACATTTTGCGCCAGAAAGAATAAGTATAGGAACAGCGATAACGGAATGCATAGCGATCAGATTGCCATGTCGTTCGCAGGTCCCGCTGAGCCCCCCGCTCGTCTCCGTGGAGGGCCCCGCCAGCGACAGGATCGAGCGCGCACGCTTCTGGTCGCGGGTTTTTGCAATAAGAAGCAGTTGCAGCAACATGCAGTCGGACCGAGGTGTGAGATCGAGATCGGTTCGGGGAGGGTACCCCAGTGTTCGTCGTGTTTGTTGGGCGTTCTTTTGCATCCTGGGGAGGGTGCACTTCGATGTTCTCTGCGTTTTGGCCGGCGGAGGGTCTCATGTTCTTGAAGAGTGTTTGTCTGGCCTATAGGTCCGAGTGTAGGACAAAGAGCTGAAATGGAGACCACGTTGGGCCCCGGAGGGGCTCTGGTTCTCGGGCCGCTCCTTCGATGTAAGCCGTGAAGCCTCCTCATGGCCGATGCTCACCGTGACCAGAAAACCCGCCTCGTTTCTCATTCGTCAGGAGGGGAAACACACTCAGACACAAGTAGTCGTCGATTCCGCAGAACATATGGGGACAAATGGGAAGTGGGGAGGAAGAAACACACCCAGAAATTATGGGAAAATATAGGCTATCCTATTATTTGTGTCTATTTGTCTGTGTGTCCCAGGGCCCCTTCAATTTAGCGTTCCTCGTGGTAGCACGCTGGCTGTAATTTTTGCGGGAGGGGTCCGCGCGCAATTCTTCGTTGACCGGCGCTGTGGCCCCCCTCCCCGGCGCCTCCCGTGCCACCTTCGGGCGCCGGCTCCGGCGCGCTGTCCGCGCCCCGCGCGCCAGGGATCAGGAGGGGGAGAAAAAAATCACAGACACAATTCATCGTCGAGTTCTCAGGGAACTGTGGAAACATATGGGAAGTGGGGAGGGAAGACGAAAACCCAGAAGATATTGGAAAATAGGGGGAGTCCTGGGATTCGTGTCTATTGATTTGTGTGTCCCAGGGCTCCTTCAAGGGAGAAGGGGGGGCCCAAGCGTGAACAGTGGGAAACCGACTCCAGCCCCCACAGCAATGGATTCTACACGTCAGCGTTTTGCAATGCGGGCGCCCTGTAACTCAGCGAGGCCATTGCCAGCTGCCGCAGGCAGGGGGGGACCGCGCGCGCGGTATAGTTGGTGTAAAGTTCCTCACGTGGGGGGGGGGGCGGGGATCGTTCTTCATGAGTTCACAGCGATTTGTTTTTGTTGTTTCCTCTGGACCCTTGACTCCTTGGAGGCCTTTGGGGTCCTAAGGGGCATTCAAGGGCCGCCCAGGGACCTTCAGACACTGCCTGGGTCCACTGCCGTCGTCGCCACTTGCCGTGGTCATCGTCCTCGTCGCTCCTCCTCCTCCTCCTCGTTCTCCTTCGTGCCCTCTGTTGCTCCGCCTCGTTCTCCTCGTCGCCCCTTCTCCTACTCGTTCTCGTCCTCGTTCTCTTCGTCCTCGTCGCCCCTCCTTCTCCTCGAGCCCTCCTTCTCCTCGTTCTCATCCTCATCCTCGTCCCCCCCTCCCCCCCTCGCGCGCGCGCTGGTGGAGCAGGAGGAGGAGGGGGAAGAGGAGGGGGAGCAGAAGGGAAGATGAAACCAGCAGGAGGGGATGGGGAGGGGGAGGATAACAAGAACAGGGAGGAGGGAGGGGATTAGATGGGGAAGCTGGAGGATGGGAGGAGGGGAGGAAGGAGTGCAGGGGTGGGGGTAGAGGGGAAGCGCCTGAAGGAGAAGGGGGAAGGGGAGGGTGAGGGATCATTGAAGTATGTCCAGGGCAAGCGCGAAGAGGGCGAGTATCCAGGGCGAGGGCGAGGGCGCGCGCAGAGGAGTCCCAGGGCGAGGGCGAAGAGTGAGAGATAGTCGAGTGGATTACCAACATATTCCAAGGCCCCGCGGAGCTGTGACCCCGCAGGGCCTGTGGGCCACCACGGCTGAGGTCAGCGGTCCAGCGCCCTCCAGGGAGGCGCTTGTTTGCGCGTACGGGCCTCTCGGCCCCCCAGTCTTTCCGAATCGCCTGGGCGGGCCAGGCAGGCGCGGCCAGCGATGCGCTCCCGTCAGGGCCTGCCCTAACGCTGGGCTGGCGCTGGGGGGCTGGGGGGGGCAGGGTGGGGGAAGGAGGCAGGAAGGGAGGAGGAGGAGGAGGAGGAGGAGGAGGAGGAGGAGCAGGAGCTGGAGCAGGAAGCATCTGCGCAGAATGTGTCTTCATGCGCCCTCGCGGTCCACATTCCGGGGCGCGATCCCGAGGATACGCGGCCGCACGGGTACGTTCCGCGCGGGGCATCCGCGGGCTCGCGGCCCAGGGGCCCGGCCCGCGAGGCTGCTTTTCGACCACGAGGAGGGGAGGTTTTTGGCCAGCCGGGGCACGGGCCCTGAGCTTGGCAGCGGGGCCAGGCGCTTTGGCACAGCGGAGTCGTCAAGGGCACGGACCTGGGAGCTGCGTGGTTCTAGGCCTCCCAACTGGGGTCCGAGCAGACGGGGTCGGAGGATCGCGCCGCATCGCCGATGCATCGCCGAAGCATCGCCGATGCGGCTCGATGTGGAGCCCGACTTTCTCTCCACTCCGACGGCGCCGCTGCATCGCCGACGTCGCCGATGCATCGCCGATGTATTGCCGATGTATCGCCGATGCGGCGCGGTCCTCCGACCCCATCAACTCGGACTCCATCTAGGCGTCTTGGACTAAACTTTGATATTTGCGAGCCCCCGTGAAAGACGATGGCCCCAAACCTCCCGGGGTCACGAGCTCGGCCTGATATGGTTGCGTTTTGTTGCGGCAATTCCGCGATGACTTCTGCCAACTTTGCCAGGCTTCATTCGTGTACATGTTCCTTCAGGGGTTCCTACGTATCGGACTTTAGTCTTGGTGAGAGCAGATGTGAAAAATGGCGGAAAGGCAGGGGATCTGCAGCAGCGGCAGCGGCTGCCGCCATCTCCTGCTCATCCTCCTCCCTTCTCCAATTCTCTGCCTCCACCTCCTCTGCGCTGCATCGTTCTTTCTCATCATTCTTCTCATCCCTCCGTTCATACCACCCCCCTCGTCCGACCCCCACTCCCTCATCCCCATCCAGCCTCAACATACCTCGTCTCCTTCTTATCCCAATCCTGCTTCTTCTTCTTCGTCGCCCGCCTCTCATTCTTATTCCCCGTGCTCCAGAATTCCTCTCCAAGTCCACCTTCACATTCATCATTCTCCGTCACCCTCCGTCCACTCCTTTTGCCCTCGTCCCCACGTTCCTTGCTCTCACTCAGCCCTCCCCTCCATGCTAATCCGCCCTCCCTCTCCTCCTCCTCCTCCTCCTCCTCCTCCTCCTCCTCCTCCTCCTCCTCCTCCCCCTCCTCCTCCGTCCTGCTCCCTCTTCATCTTCCTCCCGTCCCTTCCAGAGCTCCCCCTCCCCCTCCCCCCCCGGGCTCGCAGACCCTCCCCGCCCTTCTGCATCCCCCGCCGTGCCTTGCCCCCCCTCTGCACCCTGGAGGAGGAGGAGGCGGGGCCGCAGCCGCCGCCGCGGCCGCCGCCGCCGCGCAGAGGCGCAGCGGGCGGGCATCCCGTTCAAGAGCGTCGATGACCCGCGGCCGGGGGAGGAGGAGGAGGAGGAGGAGGAGGAGGAGGAGGAGGAGGAGGAGGAGGAGGAGGGAAGGGAGGAGGAAGAGGAGGAGGCGGAGGAGGAGGAGGAGGAGGAGGAGGCCCGTAGCCATTCTGGCTGAAGGCTAAACGTTGCGAGGGCTGTAAACGCCCGAGAACCAGCCATTAGTGTTGCGGCCTATCCGTAGGCCTCTCTCGAGAAGATCACGGGCCTTCAGGAGACCCACCTTTCAGCATCTCCCTCGCCGTCAGTCTCTCGTTCGCGCCCAGTTCAGACATGGCGATGGAACATGGCCGCAGCAGGTTCGGGACGGCCGCCGAGCCTTGGCAGAAGCTGCGCTCTCGATGCTCGATCGATTGGATGACATGGCCACTTTTCCTTCTCAGGAGCGTCTTGTACAGCCTCATGACGGTGAACCTGCCTTTGAGATGGTGGGAGGAACGGCCACCCCTCGCGGACGAGGACCAGGGCCGCCACACACAGACGCAAGCGACGACGTCTCCTCGCCCAGACCGTATGTGGACAGCACCCGTGATGAGCTCCTTCGTGAAGTCGGATCGCTCCAGAAAGGGGTGGGTGACTTTGCCAAGTCGGTGGCCAACAACTGCAACGCCCTGGGCCGCCAGATGGAGAAGCGTCTCGCACAGGTCGAGTGGTAGCAGACTCAGCAGGACGCGCGCAGATCCCAGCTCGAGAATGGCACCGCAGAGCTTCGCAACCTTCTTGGCGTATTACGCACGGAGACCCCGATGCCGATTGTTGTGCAGGTAAACCCTCGTCCTCCCCGCCATAGGGGCAACGGGCCTTGAGGATGTTTTTTTGCCGTGTTCGGGCCCCGATCCCTGGCAATGCTGCAAAACGATTCAGGATGAAGACTTCGGCTTGGGGGGGAGGCCCCAGTCGGACGGGGCTTGGACGAGGATAGATCCGTTCCAGAGCGTTCCGGAACGCTCTCAAGGCGTCCCGCAGCGCTCTCAGGCCGCCGGATCTCAGAGATTCTTGATTTACCTCACCCCGTGTTATCCTCGCATTGGCTTCGTCGTGTTCTGGGCCCGTTTCCCTCAGGACTCTTCCCCCGTGCTAGTCCTCCCTTTCCCCTATTCCTGGCGGATCCTCCCCTGTCTCACGTTGAATTTTCGGGGGGCCCCGCCTGTCCCGCCCGACCCGGGCTCGATGCGGACTCGACGCGGATTCGGCGCGGATCCGACGCGGATTCGACACAGATTCGACACGAATCCGACGAGGCCGACATGGATTCGACACCGATTCGACGCATATAGGGCCGCGACGAGATGGACAAGGTCCCCCCGGGGTGCAACATCAGATTCTTCCCGTCGTGGCGGGTCCTCCTTTGTCTTATGTTGCTCCCATCGTACTTAAAGGCCACACCCCAGAAGTAATCCGTAAGGGCTTCGCCCCCTGCCGCCGGCCCCCTCTCTCGGAGAATGGGCCATGGAAGAGCTAAGTCATGAGGCCTTGGCGCTGTCGTGAAGCAGTATCGAAACTTCATGCGAAGCCGATTCGCAATCAGCAAAACCAACTGATCACAAGAGGGGTTACCACACCTGGCGATTGGTAAGACGTGTATGGTTTACGGGCTTGGTTACCACACCTTGCGATTAAAGGGCCGAGGGAGTTCTCGCAGTTTGGGTTACCACGCCTTGCGATGGATGTGCGTGAAGGGTGGCACCGAATTTCAGAAATGTGGCAAATCCCCTGTGTTTTTGGACCCTGACCCCGCGGATCTGCGTGAGGGGTGGCACCGAATTTCAGAAATGTGGCAAATCCCTGTGTTTTTGGACCCTGACCCCGCGGATCTGCGTGAGGGGTGGCACCGAATTTCAGAAATGTAGCAAATCCCATGTGTTTTTGGACCCTGACCCCGCGGATCTGCGTGAGGGGTGGCACCGAATTTCAGAAATGTGGCAAATCCCATGTGTTTTTGGACCCTGACCCCGCGGATCTGCGTGAGGGGTGGCACCGAATTTCAGAAATGTGGCAAATCCCTGTGTTTTTGGACCCTGACCCCGCGGATCTGCGTGAGGGGTGGCACCGAATTTCAGAAATATGGCAAATCCCTTGTGTTTTTGGACCCTGACCCCGCGGATCTGCGTGAGGGGTGGCACCGAATTTCAGAAATATGGCAAATCCCATGTGTTTTTGGACCCTGACCCCGCGGATCTGCGTGAGGGGTGTCGATTTCGAGCCCCCCCAGCAATTCAGACAACGCGCCCAGGAGACGCTAAAAGTCTTGTTTGGGCCTCTCCCCCCCTCGCGCGGTCAATCAACTAGTTACAGTAACCAGCAAGTAGTCAAGTAGTTACAGTAACCAGCAAGAAGCAGAACTGTAACACTGGAAACTAGAAACTACAACTGGTACAGGAAACTGCGAATCACGGGCCTCGCAGCCTGGTGGCCCCACAAGGGGGCCGGCGGATTTCGAGCACCCAGACAAGTATCGAAGCAATGTCGAACGCGTATCGCCGACCAGGGCCTGATACGTGAACGCTCTCCAGCCTGGATACCTCCTTGGTGCTCGAAATTCTTTCTGGCGGTCCAGGCTAAAGCGGGCTGGAACATCATAACCCTTGCCCTCCCCCTGCTCGTCCTCCCTGGCCCCCCTCCCTGGCCGTGGTCCTGGGGCTTTGGCGGCCCTGCAGCCGCCTGCTCTCCCGGGCGGGCTGCTGGTGCCCGGCCCCCGCCCAGGGCTGCTGCGAGAAGCACGCCGCCTCTTCGGCCACGCGCAGGCGCCGCCCTGGCCCCCAAAGTGGCCCCAGGAGAGCTCCTCAGACACGATCGCGACGTGAAAAAACGGGACGGAGGTTTTTTCAACTATTCCGCAGGCCTAGAGGTTGACACCAACACCGATATCGGAGGTGTGCCTCCACCGAGGAAAGGTGGTCCCGATCTCGGTGACGGTGGTAATATTCTGGCTTCCAAGGTGGCCGAAGTATTACCACCAACACCGAAATGTAGAATCATGTGTTGATGTTTGTGGCCATTTCCAGGCCTCCAACTCTTTTCGGCACTCGGGGGCCCTTGCCGGGTTATGGGCACCGTCAAGAAACGACTCAGGATGAGAAGCTGGCCCCAGGGGAAAGTGTTTGGACTTCCGATGGCGCCGTATTGAAAAAAACAGGACGTCGCATGTCTGGGTCCGAAACTGCCCCAAGAGGGCTCCACGATGGCCCCAGTAACTTATTCAAGCAGTGGCGAAGCGTCCTGGCTCGCCTAGAGGCCCACAAATCATGTCATACGAACATATTTGTGGATTGCACGACATGTTCTCGGAACAGTGTTGGCTGGGACTGGCGTGATTTAACACACCAGTCTTGTATGTTCAAGAACATGTCGTGGTATGCTTTCTCTGGGTTTCTTAATAAGCGTGGGGGGGTACCCCCCGACGGGGGTCAACCTCGCCTCGTCGTCGCGCCGCGACGCGGGTCAATGTGCGGCTGTCGGTGGTGGTAACGCCCCCCCCCCGACGCTTATTAAGAAACTCGGAGTATAGGAATGCCGGGACTGTCGGTCCCTGCTCAAAGTATGCCTCCAAGGAGGCTCCCAGAGCGTGGCTTGCGTGCTGCATCATTGATCAGGGCGGTTCGCCTGGTGACTGTCCTGGCATGGGCTGGTGTGGACGGCGCGCACAAGGGGGTATGAGGAGGGGGGAAGGCTTCTCAGAGGGAGGCTGCGTCTTTAGGATGTTTGGTAAAACTGATGGATTTCCCCGACTCCAGAACTGGCGCGGGCTTCCACTTGCGGTTCCCTTGCTCCTGCCCTTGCCTCTTGCTTGCCCTTTCTCTCTCCCTCTCTCTTCACCGCCGCTCCGCGGCTCAAGCCTTTCTAAGGCCAAGCTGGGGGTCGGCCTCAGTTGGCCTAAGGCCGGGCCCCGGAGGGGCCAGAAGACTCCCAGGCCTGGGTCCAGGCCTGGCAGGGGCGCCCGCGGCCGCGCGATGCCGCGCCTGGCGCCGCGCGGCTGGTGGGCGGCAGCGTCGCCGCCCGCGGGCGCGCAGCTGCGCAGCGGTGGGGGGCCTGGGCGCCGAGCGGCGCCGGCTCACGCCAGCCGCGGAGCACCCAGAGGCGAGGCGGCATCCGTCGAGGCGGGGCCGCCGAACCCCCCCGACGAGCCAGCAGCCAGGCGCGAGCCCGCGCCGGCGCTGGCGCAGTGCCAGGCGGGGGCCGCGGGTTGCGCGTGCGCGCCGGGGCCCGCCTGGAGGAGCTGCCCCAAGGCCCAGACGCCGCCGCCGGTCGGCCGGCGCCGTGGGCGCGCGGCAGCCCTGATGCTGATCCTCGCGATGACCGTCGGGATCGTCGATGCCGACGCCGATGCCGAGTCCGCGTACTACGACGACAACGTGGACATGAGGGAGTTCTGGCTCGATGTGCCCGTGGGCCCCTCGATGCACGTGGGCGCGCCGCCGGACGGGGTCTCCCCTACCGGCGGGCGCGCTGCGCCTGCAGGAAGCAGCGGAGGGGTACCGCCGCGCGAGCGCTCCGCGCCGCCGGCTGGGCCCCCTCCCCAGGACCCGACCCGCCCACCCCCCGACCCCCCCGATGGGGATCCATCGTCCTGGATCAGAGGTTGGGGTCTTTTCGGCATCAGCTGGAAGGACATCGGCAACCGCACCTACTGGTTTGCCGAGGGGATGGGTGGGGGTACCTTCAGGGCCGTGGGGAGCTTCAGGTCTGCCTTCTCGACTCGCGAGGCAGGAGGTTGGCTTAGCTCAGAAGGTGGCTGGGTGCTCTACATGACGGACCAGATGGGCCTCGCCCTGTTCGGCTCCGCGTGGCCGCTGATCGCCGGGCTCGTGGCGGTCTTCGCCGGCACCGGGATGGTCGCGCTCTTGGCCCACAGCCTGAGGACGCTCTTCGCACCCTGTAGCTGGGCGGCTTGGTCCTGCGGCTTGGTGCTGGCATGCTGCCCTTGCCCGAGGCGCCGTACGCCTGGCGAAGTCAAGCTCGACAAGCTGGTTCCGCCGGCGGCCCCGCCGCTCACCGACGTGGTGTGGCATGGGCCGACTACCGGGGCCGACCCGACGACTGACTGGTATCGCAAGAGCATCAAGGAAGGCCGGGGCTCCAAGCGCGGCCAGAACGACCTCATGATCCGGGTAGACTACAGGGTTGCCCGGCTCAAGCTCAACATGAGGTCTCCTGAACGTATCAACCGCCAAGGATTGTGGGTGGAATACGATTCCGTGAAGGGTGCCAGCGACAAGAGCTTCCGGCGCGAGCTGGAGCAGCGGGATCCTCGCTGGCTTCACCTGTGCCGCTCTTCGAGCTGTACTGGGTGCAAGGGGCGCGAGAACGAGCTGCATTGCAAGGAGTACGCGGCCCTCGACAACGAAGCCATCGTAGACCTCGGCGACTATTCGAGGTTCACACCCTGCCGGATCTTCGTCTGGCTCTGGAGGGGGACGGGTCTTGTCTACAAGTTGCTACTGTACATCCTCTCGTGGTGCTCATGTTGTGGGGCATGCCTCTGCCGCCGGCGCCGCCGCCGTCCTAAGACTGGCGATGCGGAGCCTGGCGTGCAGGGGTCAGTGGCAAGGCTACTTGACCAGGAGTCCGAGTCCGAGGTAGATGCCGAGGACAACCCTTGCGAGGCAGTGAAAGTGGGGCTCATGATCAAGGGTAAGATGCGCCCACTGGCTCCCGAGGGTTGTCGAGACGCTGCACGAGGGGACCCTGCTGTGCTGCTGGTGGAGGACGGGCGGGCCTCGGACCTCCCTCACCCAAGTGAGGGGAGCGCAACGGCCTGCCTCTGCGAGCATCACCGGCAGATCTACATGGTCCTGCGCTACGGCGAGAAGTGCTCTCAGGTGACCTGCTTCCGGGAAGCGGTGGGCATGGCCTCAGGGGTTCCTCTCTGTCTGCAACACCTTGGGGGTGACGCAGCCCGTGCAATGCACGACAACCCAGCAGGAGTCGGGTTCTTCGCAGGACTACGGCGCCGAGCTCGGCGGAGTCCTGCAGCACGGAGCCGCACACCAGAGCGGGCAGCTGCCGCCCCAGCCAGGAGCCGCACTCCAGAGCGCACCGCACCCCCGCCCTCTGCGCGAGAGGCGCCTTCCAGCCCTGGCGACCCCGTCCCGTCGCCGGCTGGGCCACCGAGCGTGCGCTTCGAAGCGCCGCCGGTTCCGGGCTTCCCCCAGCCGCCAACTCAGCCGCCTATGCCCCTTGGACAACATTTCATTCTACGGGCGAGGGTGCATTGGCCCGAGGGGGCGCAGTGGATGATTTTCAGAGGGAAAGCAGTCGATGCCGTCGCGGCCAGCACGGTGGCCGACTACTTCGACGGTGCGCTGGCGCTCGAGGTGGCAGACCCAGCAGGCGTCGCCATCCGCTTCCTCGTGAAGCCCGACGGCGTCATCCGTGCGCCGTCTCCAGGACCCTCCGGACGCCTACCCGCAGGGTTCATCGAGGAGCTGCTCCACCACGCACCCCTGGGATGCGAGGAGCTCGGCATCGGCGTCTCGGCGACCAACGTACCCGAGAAGGTTTGGCACAAGCTGGCAGCTTGGCATGGTCTGCCCGTGGGTGGCCGAGCTGGCCCACTCAGCGAGGCACGCTGGCGGCTGCTCAAGGAGAAGGTGGTCGACCTAGTCAAGTGGCACCCTGAGGGGGGCGTGGCACCCAGTCCGAGCTTCGAGGCGCAGGCCACCGAGGCGGACGCCAAGCTGCGCAGCCATTGGCGGCGGCTCGATCGCAGCAGCTCGCCCAGGCCGCCCTCGGGGTCAACAAGAAGGAACTCTCGTTCGCCGTCAGCCGAGGGCGGACGAGCAGCCAGCTCTGAGGCGCCCGCGTCAGGAGAGAGTCATCAGGGAGATGAGGGAGGAGACATGATGGCCTGCTACTTGGAGGAGAAGGCCCGTGGGTCAAGCGATGCGGCCGCTGTGCAGAGCGTGGCTGCTGGCTTCGGTGAGGAAGCCCAGCAGGTGCTCGCCGGCCTCATCCGATATGCTCGATACCTCAAGCAGCAGACGAATGAGCCTGAGGAGCTCGTACGACTGGATGGGCACATTGGCAACTGGGAGGTGCTCCAACAGGTGCCCTCGCGACCACAGACCCCAGAGGCATCGCCTAGCAGCCTCCAAGAGCTCCTCAAGCTCTCACCCGAGCACCACCGCTCACAGGGGCCGCCGGCCTCCACGGCCGACAGCGCGCCCCTGTTCGAAGCACATCCATCACTCTCGCCAGCGGTCGTCCTGCCGGCCTTCCCCGTCGGACAACGGGACGCCGGCCTCCCAGCTACCACGGCTGGGTTGGGCCCGGTCGTCCGCCCCCAGGCGCCGAACATCAGGTCCCTGTTTTGCTACGACCAGCACGTCAGCGACTTGGGCCTGCCTCCAGGTTTGACCACGGCACCAGCACGCTACGCTGCTGGGGCCCGAGAGGACAGTGGGGGTGCCGACCCGTTCGGCCTCGTGCAGCCCGGGGCAGCGCTGGACGCGAACACCGCCAGGATGCTCCACGCGTTAGAGGGGGTTGCCAACGCCCGGCAGGGCGACAAGGCAGCTCCGCGTGGGACAGTGGCGGCGCTGGGTCGGGCCGAGGAGTTGGACGTCTACCTGGCGCGCGGCTGCGGCCAGCTGACCGTGGAGGTCTGCGACGAGGTCCTCGGACGCGAGCTGTTCTACGCTCTGCGCCGGACCTGCGAGCAGAACAAGGCCCTCATGCTCGCCGTCGAGACGCCCACCACGGTGTCCAACCGGATCGCAATGGCGTGCGCCTCGCTCAGCTTCGGCGGCAGCAGCCTGGACAACCTGGCCCCGTGGTCGGCATCTGTGGCGGACTTCCCGACCTGCAAGACGATCGCGTTCGACAGGTACAGCGCGCCACACGACACCAAGCTGGAGCCCAGGCCCAGGGCCCCCGTGGTCTTCGACCAGTGGAAGCGGCAGGCCCAGAACATGACCAGGTTCTTCGGGCTTGTCTTCGGGCGGGAGCACGTCAAGGAGCGCCTGGACTGCCTGGAGACTCTCGCACGGGAGTGTGAGAAGGACGACCGCGCCTTCCCGCCCAAGTTCGTCTACGAGTTGTGGGAAGAGCTGTGGGCGACCTGGTGCGAGCGGCTCCGAGACAAGAAACGAGGCCTCCTGCGCATGCTGCAGACGGACAACCCCAGGAAGGAGGACCTCAATATGGTGGCCTTTGCTCCCAGGCCGGACGGACGCCCAGCTTTCGTCTTCCCTAACGTCTTCGACCTCGAGTCTCCCACAGGCTATTACCAAGAGGTCGTACGCCCGCGACAGCAGCGCTACCTTCAGACCGTCCTCAACGACTCGATGCACGGGGTGCGTGGCGCCCCGGGCAAAGCTGGGGAGGTCCGAGGAGGGGGAGAAGAACCAGCCGCCGAGCCTCAGGAACAGCGAGCTGGTGCCACCCCCAAGAGGAAGCCCAAGGCCAAGGCCCAGCCGAAGGCCAGCTCCGCACGGGCCGCGTACCCTGCGGGCAAGCGGCTGAACGCCCAGGAGATCAAGCTGTCGGTCCGGCATGCGCCCTGCGACAAGCAGGGCAAGCCGCTCTGCTGGGACAACTCGACCTGGATAGGTTGCAAGAAAGGAACTGCGGGGTGCTCACACTCGCACGACCTTATCAAAGGGCTGAAGGACGTGCACTGGACCGTGCAGTGCCAGCTCCTCAGGCGGGGAGGGCTCCGCAACGCCACCAAGATCGACCCGGCGTCGGTCAACGGGAGAATTGCACAGCTGAGGGCCCAGGCGAAGACCGAGGCGGACAGCAAACGGGCTGCAGGCGCCGGCGCGGCGGAGAGCCAACCTTCCAAGACGGGTTGGGCGCCGCCCGACGAGTACGCCGAGGTCCAGTGCACCGAGCTGGAGTCAGAGCTTCGAGAAGCCGCTCAGGGGCCCGACGCGACCTGGCTCGAGGACCCGCGGGCCAACAGCCCGGCCCTGATCGGGACGAGTGTCTGCGCAGACGAGGGAGCTCTGGCCCAGCGGAAGCTGCTCGAGGCCGTCCAAGAAAGCGGGGCACTCGACCCCGTGAGCCATGCCAGTGACTACATGCGGTCGCACGTCTTGGCGCGTCTCGCGTGCGCCCGCGGGCGCGGAGAGGAGCTTTCTGTTGAGCAGGTGCTCCTCGAGGCGACGAGCCAAGGCGGACCCACCTTGGCCGCCGAAGCTAGCGAGCTGCTGGACCGCCTTGGGGCGAAGGCTGGCAACCTGGGAGCCGACCCCGATGTCATCATAACGCCAGTGAGGTGGGACGCTGAGAAATCGGTAGGTCAAGGCTCCGTCACAGTGCAAGGCCATACTTGGCGCTACCTCGACTACCAGGACCAGCTGCCTTTGGACGAGTGCATCGCCAAGCGATTACAGGTGGCCGCCGGTGTTTCAGAAGAGCGGCAGTGTCTCCCACTTCACCTGGCAGCCGCCAAGCTTTGGGTACATCTGGAGACTCCACCCGACGCCCAGCAGGTCAAGGACCTGGCCCTCGAGATCCGCAGGGACCTCCTGGAGAAGGCTACCGACGCAGCCGCAGGTCTCGCCGATGCCCCGCCCTGGATATCTCCCAGGGAAGCCGAGGTCCGGATGCACATCCACGACGCAGTGCATCGCGACCACGACAAAGATTTCCGATGCGTCGCCCTCTTCCCATGCGAAGCCTTGGAGGAGGTGGTGCTTAGAGTATGGCGTGCAGACCACTGGGGTCATTTGGATATCGATGCGGTCCTCCCCGTGGGAGAGCCCAAGCAGGAGTGCCACGTGATTATCCATCGCGGGCATATGCGTGTCCTCCACCCACCGCCCGGGGCCGACGGCCGGCGAGTAGCGGACGAGCTCATCCGCACCTGGGCCACGAGCGGGAAGGACCTCAAGGAGCTCCCCACCATGGGCTGGGAGACGTACCTCGCCTCGGAGGAGGATGGCAGCCCGGCGGTGGCCAGCAAGCCCCCCCCATGCCAGCATTGCAGAGCCTTGGCAGCACAGCAGCAGCAGCGTGGGAGAGCCGCCGGCGGTGTAACCGCCGCGGTCGAGCTCCCCACCGAGGTGGAGTGTCCAGACTTCGGGGACTTGGAGCCCCTGCGATTGAGGCCAGCGTTCGCATGGGGGCTCAGGACGCGGGAGATTTTCGCCGGGACTGGGCGTTGGACGCAGGCCATGAAGGATGCGGGCATCGCCACCAGCGAGTCTGTCGAGTACTTCGGGCAGCCGTTGCTCGGCAAGGACCCCCGGCCACAGTTCGACATACGCGACCCACTGGTACGAGAGCGCCTGTACCAGGAGTTCAGCGCGCCCCCTGGCCCCGACGAGGCCAACGTGCTGCAGTTCGCCCCACCCTGCGTGAGCCATTGCCCCTGGCAGTTGGCGGCAGGAGGGACGAGGACTTTCGAGTGCCCAGATGGAACCGGGGAGCGGCAGATCGAGATCGACGGCAACATATTCGGGGAGTTCGCGTGCATCGGGGCGAAGAGGGGCTACGAAGCGGGACGAGAGTTCCTCATCGAGTCGTCAGCACGGGATGGGCGGTACCCCAAGCTGTGGGATCGCCCCTGCATGCGGACCTTGATGCGCGCGACGGGAGCCCGGGTTCTCGCCATAGACATGTGCGAGTGGGGGCTTGCACCACCGGACGAGCCACAGCATCGGTATCAGAAGCGGACCTGGTGGTTGGCATCACTTGGTCTCTACCCCTATGCCTTGATTCTAGCCAGGAGGTGCACAGGCCATCACATGCACCGCACGTTGGAGGGCGGCCTACCGTATGATCTAACGGACGCCCAGGTAGAAGCCTACAACCTTGATGCTCGCACGCGGCTCAGTAAAGCCGAGGCCAGCGAATTGATCAACCTCAGCACCAAACTGAGCGAAGCCGGCGAGTACTACGGCCTCGACAGCGACGGGGTCACCGTCACACTGCCCCCGGACGACAAGCTGATCCGCGTGAACCAGCTCATCGCGCGAGCTGCCCCAGACAATTTCCACTGGGCGAGGATCGATTTCCGCACCAAGCGGCACTACTCCGCCTTGCCGGAGAGCCAGTGGGCCCTCTACTTCGGCAAGACCCCCGAGGGCGAGCTCCGCTTCACCCTCGGCAAGCAGGCCCCGTCCAACCTGGAAGGTGGAGGACGTGTTCCCAGCGGTACTCCCCAGCTCAGTGCAGCGGTAAAAGGAGAGTTGGGAAGCGCAGGCTTCGGGCTGGGATTGCGGGGCATGCGGAGGACCCAGCACGCAGGGCAATATGCACCGCGGCTGTGCGCTGCCTGGGCAGCCGCGCTCAAAGCAGCGGCTGCCGGCACCGCCCCAGAGAAGCTGGAACAACAGATCGCCGCTATGGATGCCGAGGCGCGGGCTTTGGAGGAGAAGTTGGAAGACAAGGTGGCGCGGGCCGGGCGCTATGACGCCCTGGAACAAGAACCCCCCCCCTCTTTTCAGCCTCCGACCTGTGCGGGAGAGGGCGGCGGTACCGCAGATGGGGCCACCGACGAGCACGAGCATAGCGTGAAATGCGGCAGCCTGGAGCAGAGCGCCAACACCTGCTGCCTACCTCATTCGATATGGAGAAGCTCAATGGAGGTCGAATTCGAGGGGGGCTCAAAGGGCCACCAGGGAGGTGGTCGTTCAAAGGACGGCTACCTGGAGAGGAACGAGGCGGAGGCGGATGGCCTAAGCTCAAAGGGCGAAGGCCGAGGTGAGGAAGAGGTGGAGGTGGAGACCGACGGCGAGCCAGCCATAACCACATGGGGTGGCGACGAGAAGCGCGGTGGCAGACGAGGTGGCAAGCGAGGGGGCTGGAAGCGCAACAAGGCGCGCAAGCGTGAAGCACGCGAAACTGCTGCTCGCGGAGGTGGCGGATCTGGCGGAGGTGGCGATGATGACGGCGACGGGGACGAGAGCCCCGAGGAGGAAGAGGAGGAGAACCGCCGCCAGAAGAAGGCGAGGGAAGCCGAGGACGCGGCGTCGCGGGCCAGCCCGGTGCGGGTCTTCGTCCCGCAGCAGGGGGACCAGTGGGTGTTGCTCAAGGGGGGCCCGTTCGAGGCTGGAGAGGTTAAGGCAAGGTTAAGGGTCGCCGAGACACTGTCCGGGGGCTTCTTCGACGCCGACCAGTTGTACCTCTTCGAGTGCACAGAGGATGACGATACTGCAGGGGCATATGGGCCACCTCTCGACGACGAGGAAGCGGTGCGCCCCGGCGAGAAGTTGCTGCTGTGGGCCACGCTGAAGCCGCCCAAGGAATGGACCAGTTGGAGCCCCCGGTGGAACCGGGACCAACAACCCGCACCTGGTGCCACAGCCCAGGAGGGTCAGCGGAGAGTCACGGCCAGGATTGCTGATAGAGCGGCAGCAGCAGCAGCAGCGCCGGCAAGGCCGAGCGGGGCCGCAGCGAGCTCAGCAACCGGCAGTGGCCGCCAGCCAGCCCCAACGTTCAGCGAAGTGGCGGCAGCAGCGGGCGGCGCCCGAGCGAGCTCGGTACCCCCGTCCAGCGGTGGCACTTCGAGGAGTTCAGGCGCTTTGATGCGAGTCGAGGAACAGCTCGCTGAAGCTCAGGGGCAGCATGCCCGAGCAGCGAGCGAGGGCGGCGACCAGGAGCTGAGCGCGGCGCGCGTGGTAGGACAGCTGGAGATCAGTCGCAACGAGGTCCAGGCCCGCCGCGCTGCCCGGCTCGAGCGCGAGGCGCGCCGGCGGGAGCGCGAGGACCAGAGGGCCTCCAGCGCACCCCCAGAGCCCCACAGCCCACAGGTGCCCACGGAGGCCCCTCCTCCGCCCGAGGCGGAGGAGGACCCAGAGACCACCTCGGAGGAGATGGGGCGCCGGGTTGCCGAGGCGCACCCGGGCGTAGCCTGCCGTGGGGGGGTCCACAAGTGCAACGCTGCTCGACGATTCGTCAAGAACTTCAACGACGTGCGGAGGGGTGGCAAGAGCCACGACCTGCAGCATGCTGACATCCTGTATCGAACGGGATCGGGCAGATCAGCGACGTCTTGATGCAGGCATATCCCGGGGCCGACCCGACGGACCCATCCCTGCCGCCGGAGCCTCGCCAGCTCGGCGAGATCCTGGCGCGCTACGTGGAGGAGCACGAGACGTTGAAGCTCAAGATGACGAGCTTAGGCATTCCACGAGACGAACAGGCCGGTGGTGGAATCCTGGACCCCATCTACGTCGCGACTGAGAAGACTTACGTCGAGGAGTACGAGGGTCGGGATGTCCCAAGCGCTCGCAGCCGCAGCCGCCGGCGGAGTGGAGGAGCAGCCCCCTCTGGGGGAATGAAGCCCCCCGGGGGCACTCCTGGCGACTCAGAGTCATCTGCCTCCGAGACGATGGCCCCTGACACCCGAGGCCGGCTGCGAGCGAGGTCGCCCCAGGATGAGAGCCGGGGGCGCGGCTCCGCCCCGGACCCGAGGGATCCAGGGCGCAGGTGCGGAGGCCCTGAGGTGCCGCCGGCGGACACCCGCCGAGGCGCGCACCAGAAGGGCTGTGCGGAGGCACACCAGGACGAGAGTCGATCATCGCCGGTGACACCCCGGCCTGGCACCCCCGAGGCCAAGGAGTACTTGCACTGGTGCCTGGAGCATGCTGAGTTTGCTCCCGAGCTGGTGAAAGAGGTGACGGACCTGGGGAACCGCCTGCTACTCGCCGCAGGGAGCGTGGAGGCAGCAGCAGCGAGGCTCCGCGAGGAACGGGAGCTCGCCCTCGGGAACCCGCTCGGGGGAGTGCTCGATCCCGAGTTCGGCGAGGCGCTCGAGGAGGATCACCGGCTGTACCTCCAGGAGATGGCGAGCAGGGGCGTCCCCGTTCGGAGGCAGCAGCCCAGGCGCCGGACTATAGCCAAGCCCCACGCTTCCGCGAGGGACCATGCCCTGGAGATGTACGCCAAGGCCTGGAAGGACACGTCCTACGGCGCCGTGCTCTGGGCCACTCCGGAGGCCGAGGCCGCCCTGTCCGCTTCCGAGCTCATCGAGAGCCCGTCAGGGCGTGTGCCTAAGATGTTGCCGGACCGCACAGTGAGCAGCGAGGGACGCCCCATACATGATATGAGGGTTGCCAATGGAGACTCGCCCAAAGAGCTGCATCCGCCAGCGCTCCAGCCCAAGCACGAAGCTCTTGTGCGCCTGTCACTCTGGTGGTCCGCACGCCACCCGGGCGTCCCGCAGGTGATAGCCAAGCGGGACGTGTCGCGGGCCTTCAAGTGGCACTGGGTGCGCGACGAGGACGTGGCCGAGTTTGGCACCTCCCTCCCCGGCGACGCCGTGGGTCTGACCACGCGCGTGATCATGATCCACTGCGTGATGGTCTTCGGGTGGTCGGGGTCGCCGGGCGAGTACATGGCGTTCGCCTGGAGTGCCAAGTGGGACCACGAGCGGCGCCGCCCACCAGACCCAGCGGTCAACGACACAGTGCGCTGGTCGTCCAAGTGGCTGATGGACGACGGCGTCTTGGTCGAGCCGCTGGTCGGCCTTCGGCCCTGGCTCAGCGCAGCCGACTGCGACGCGAGCATGCGGCGCGTCTGGGGCGACGACGCGATCAACGTCGACAAGATGGCAGAGGAGGGCACTTTCCAGGCAGAGCAGCTGGTCTGGGGCCTATACTTGGATGTAGACAAGCAGCGCTCGAGGCTCCCCGAGCCCAAGTGCGTGAAAGCCGCCCACCTCTTGGCGATCGACGAGCTTCGCTATGGATGCCGACGGGTTCCCATCAAAGTCGTCCAGGAGCTGAGGGGGTCGGCCCAGTTCTGGGTGGCTACGCAGCCGGCTATCAAGCCCGAGCTGCCGGTCATTGACCGCCTCCTCGGCGGTGGGCTCAGCGCAGCCTGGGCGGAACCCCGAGGTAGCGCTGAGGAGGTCGCCCTTGCCTGGGACGAGTGGGACCAGACCCTCGAGCTGCTGCGGGTGCTCTTCGACGCACCCGAGGCCTGGGCGTCCACTTTCGAGGCGAGCTTCATTTCCTGTCTAGGGCCGCGCGAGCGCCTGGCACTCCCAGGGGCCGCCGCCCGGACGAGATGGACTGGGGGGGACGCAACCACGACGACCATCGGCAGCATCGACTGGGGGCGGGCAGTGGCCGGCAGCAAAGCGATGCCACCTCACTACATGGCCGTGGACGCCGCCCCGCTCCTACGCCAGCTGGAGGACGTGCTGAGCCACCCAGGGGCCGAGAAAGATTGGGCGATCGCCATCGTGGAGCTGCTCGCGTTTGTAGCCCTAGCTGCCGCTAGGGGTAGCGAGTGGCAAGGCGAGCTGGTCTTCTACGTCACCGACAACATGAACGTGCGGTCGTGGATTTCCAAGAGGCGGCCCAAGCACCCGCTGGCACGGCACCTCATTCGCCTCGTCCAGCGCCTGGAGGCTTGCTACGGGTTCAGCACGACCGCGCTGTACATACGCACTTACCACAACGACATCGCGGACTGGCTGTCGCGGGAAGAGGCCAAGAAGGTCCACTCCGAGCTTCTCCGCAAAGGGTGGACCCGTATCGAGCCGCCCGAGGAATGGGGGAAGATGCTGGCCGAGGCAAAGGAGCACCTCCTGCGGCTACCTGGAGAAGATGGGCCCATTGCGGAGTCAGCGCTCCGGCATCGGGCGCTGAGGACCCCAGCAGCGGTGCCACGCAACCTCGCCCTCACAGGGCGCCGGGGCCTCGAGCTGGGAAGCCCACTGGGGACTTACGGGCGAGCCTGGGAGCAGCTCGGTGGCGAGCTGACCACGGGCGACTCCACGGGGGTGGACTGGATCATGTGCACGCTGTCTCTGGACCCGAAGGGCTTTGAAGTCGAGAAGTTGGCATCCTCAATTACCCGGGCGAGGCCACAAGTTGTTGTGGTCGACGCCCCGGGCAAGCTCGACCTGACCCGCGTGGTCAAGGTGCTGCGCAAGCTGGGGTACCGCGTGTACGATCTGGAGGTCGTCTGCACCCACTACGGCGACATGACAGCTCGAGCTCGGAGCCTGATCGTGGCGGGCAAGGGGCCAGCAGGCGTTAGCCTGGCGGGCATGCGTATGCCGCCGGCGCGCCGCTGTCCCCATGGAGTGAAGCACGCGCTGAAGGACAAGCCCAGCGAAGGCTGTCACCACTGGCTCGACGACGAGGGGAGCGTCACCTGGGACCCTGCAGCTCGTGGGGGCTCCGACCCTACACTGCCCAAGGGCATCGGCCACATCAAGATCGCCGGCACCAAGCAACTGGTCTGCTCAGTCGACGGCCCGATCGGCACGGTTCGCTGGCCCGCTGAGGGCCCGGGCGGACCGGGAGGAACCCTGATCCACGTCCCAGGACGCAGTGGCGGGCGCATCAGGGCGCTGTCGCCGGAAGAAGTTTGGATCGTGCAAGGAGGCGACGAGGCGTCGTGGGTGCAGCGACGAGCCCGAGGCGACTCCGAGGCCACCCTGATGCGGGAAGCGGCGAGGTCCCTGCCGCCAGAGACGGCGAGAGCTGTACTTGGTTCTGCTGCGGACGCACTGTCGCAGACCACCCAGCGGGCAGGCGGCTGCCACGATCCCGCAGAAACGGCCGCCTGGGAGACGACCCGACGGTGGCTCAGGGCATGGGCGCGGAGCGAGCTCCAGGTGAAAGCTGACAGGCCAGAGGACAACCAGCATGCTGGGGTACTGAGCGACGACGTCCATAAAGCGAGGCGCAAGAGCCAGGGCGTCCGCTTCAAGGCCATCGAGGAGGACCTCGTGCGGGGCCCCGAGCCCCCCCCCGACGCGGAGGAGGTGGACCTGGACGCAGTCGTCAACATCCCCAAGAAGCGGCGGAAGAAGAGCCCCAACCGGGGCAAGAAGGTGGAGACCCAGGGCCTGGTCAAGCCGGTCGCCCTGGGCCGCGCTCGTGCCTCCATCGCCCTGCCGGACCACCCGATGCTGGGAGGGGACGACTACGGCCGGTGGATCGAGGAGCAGAAGCGTGAGGCGCTGATGCTGCGACTGTCCGAGGGAACCCGCGCTGGCTACGAGACCGGCTGGAAGCAGTGGCAGAGCTTCAGAGCAGCCCAAGGGGAGTCGCCCTGGCTGGAGGGACGCGACCGCGAGGAGCGACACGCCAACGAGGAGGCACTGTTGGGCTTCGTCATCGTGTTGGCTAAGGTGCTGAAGCGCACGGAGGGTACGGTAAAACAGAAGTTGTTCGCAGTGCGCTTCGCCCACCTCGTGGTCGGGTACCCAGATCCTCTACTCCACCGAGGCCGTCTTTGGTCCACGCTCGCCGGCCTCCGGAGAGGCCAAGGGCCGAGCGGGAGGAAGCGGCCAGTGACGCCTCGTGTGCTCCTGTGGCTTCAGGGCTTCCTGAAGGACCAGTCGGACCTCCCTGAGGCGGACGCCGCTGTCCTGTGGGCCGCCGTGGCGGTGGCCTTCTTCTCCATGTTGAGGGCGTCCGAGTACCTGGTCCAGCCCGGGAAGACATGGAGTCGAGAGCGCGTTGTGCGTGGATGGACGTCACGGGCCGCAGTGGCGACAACAAGCCCTGTGCCTTCAAGGACGCGGTGGAGGCGGTGCTCCACATCACCTCCTCGAAGACCGACCAGTACAACGTGGGGTGCGTACGGAACCAGTACGAGACGGGCACATCATTGTGCCCCGTGGCAGCACTCCGCCAGCTGGAGCGGCACTACCCGCAGAGGCTGCGGGGGAGCGAGGAGGAGCTCCCACTCTTCCGCTGGGCGAGCGGAGCGCCCATCCGTCGCGAGGAGGTGCAGCACTACCTGACGATCGCAGGGCTTGCCGCCGGGCTGCGGAAGGAGGAGATCGGCTCGCACAGCCTCCGCATCGGGGGCGCGACAGCGATGTACCACGCCGTGGACGACTTGCAGCGCGTCAAGCGCTTCGGGCGCTGGGCCTCCGATAGCTTCCACGGGTACCTGTGGGAGAGCCACGAGCCCATGCGCGGCATCTCGACCAACATGGCGACGGATGTGTCCGAGCTCACGGCGCCGCCGGCCCATGGGGCCGAGGGCGCGCGCCGTGCAGGCAGGAGCCCGACCCCGCTTTGGCCCAAAGCAGCGCTGACCATGACGACGCTCGCCGCTACGGCTGGCAGCGCAGACGGCTACGTGCTCAAGGTCAGCCCGGTGGAGAGTCAGAATCTGCTGATCCTCGTGCTCCCGGTCGGCTTGGGAGCTTGGGCGATGGCGGCGGGGGTACTACTGGCAGCCGTGCTGCTGAGCGCTGCATGGCGGCGCGAGCAGCAGCGAAGGCGCAGAGGAGCGGCCCGCAGGCGCGGCAGCAGCTGCAGGATCCGCGCCCCCTGCGCAGGCACGCTGTGCGCAGCGCTGGTGGCGACGGCGCTCACGACAGCAGCCGGAGAGGTACAGAGCCGAGAAGTGGCGACTGTTGACGGCAAGGCCCAGGGGGCCATGCTTCGCTGGGAGCCGCAGATGGGTACGGTGGCGATCATTGTCCCGGTGGGAACGGCGATGAAGGTGGGTGCCACGATCGCAGTGCTGCTTGCAGCAGGCATCGGGGTGATTGGCGGCTGCTGCTGCAAGATGGCCAAGGAGGACGAGGGTAGGCAGGGGCCAGCCGTGCAGCAGGCCGCCGCGCAGCAGACGCCCAAGGTGCATAAGCCTCCCAAGCAGCCGCAGAGGACGTTTTGCGACGCAGGGGTGATGGGCCCGGTGCACTACAATGGCGTGAGGTACGTGCACGAGACCCAGGGCTTCCGCCGGGCCAACGAGGTGACGCGGGAGATGGCCCCGTCAGGGCACCGCGGGTCATCAGGATGGCCCCGTGGAGGGGAGCAGAGGCCGCACCGTGACTAGGGCGCGGGCTGCCGCCGGCCAGCGGCCGAGCGGGCAGCAAGGGACCGCCGCCGGCAACCGCCGTGCGAGCGGCCACGTGGCGCCGGCTGAGTTCAGCCTGGCGCCCGCATCAGCTTCGTACTTGCGAACGGCTGGGCGCGTGCCGCGGCCAGGCTGCCCGCGGGCAGGCGCCGCGCCGGCCTGGCACCCGGCAGTGCCGCCAAGGGGGCAGCAGCGGCGGCTTCGAGGAAGCGCCGGCGGCTAGCCCAGCCAGGGCTGCCGCGCGGGGCGCGTGGGAACCACCGCCGCCGGCATACGCTAGCGGAAGCGCGGCGCCGGCTGAGCTCAGCCTGGCGCCCGCGCTCAACTTTGCGCTTGCGAGCAGCTGGGCGCGGCGCGGCGGCAGCTGGCGCCTGAGGGCAAGAGCGCCGGCCGGCCCGGCAACCGGCAGTGCCGTCATGGGGGGCGGCGGTGGCGGCTACGGGGGCGCCGGCAGCCAGCCCAGCCAGGGCTGCTGCCTAGGGCGCACGAAGAACCACCGCGGGCGCCGGCGGCCTGCCGCCCTGCGCCTGCGGACCCACCTTGCTGGGCAGACGCGGCGGCCTGCCGCGGATGCCAGGACTGTTCTACGCCGACAAGGTCGGCGGCTACGCGTCCCACTACAGCCAGTTCGGCGTGGTGGAGCGCTCGCAGGGGGAAGGAGGCGGCGTGGCCCGCTGCGCGTGGCCGAAGACGGCGCCGGCGCGTGGAGCGCCGGGCGCCAGCACAGGGAGCGGCACGGCCCCTTTGGCAAAAAGGGTCGTCGTCATCATCTGAGCCGTGCACGTCCCTCTTTTCCTCCCTCTTGAGCCCCTGCCTACTAGGCTCAAGAGGTTTTAGTTTACCAGTGCTGCTTGAGGGGATATCTGGGATGTTTGGTAAAACTGATGGATCTCCCCGACTCCAGAACTGGCGCGGGCTTCCACTTGCGGTTCCCTTGCTCCTGCCCTTGCCTCTTGCTTGCCCTTTCTCTCTCCCTCTCTCTTCACCGCCGCTCCGCGGCTCAAGCCTTTCTAAGGCCAAGCTGGCCCACCCTGGGAGCCCCGCAGGGCTCCCTACCCGCCCTTTTCTGGACTTTTACAGCGCCGCCTGGCACTACAGTGCCTCGGCGGCGCGGCGTGGCCCGCTGCGCGTGGCCGAAGACGGCGCCGGCGCGTGGAGCGCCGGGCGCCAGCACAGGGAGCGGCACGGCCCCTTTGGCAAAAAGGGTCGTCGTCATCATCTGAGCCGTGCACGTCCCTCTTTTCCTCCCTCTTGAGCCCCTGCCTACTAGGCTCAAGAGGTTTTAGTTTACCAGTGCTGCTTGAGGGGATATCCGAAAGCGCGGACCTCGTCTATAGATGTAGGGCTGGTGCTTTCTGAGAAGCGACCTCTATCTGAGAATCGAAGAACAAACATCGGCATCACACCATGTTGGAGGTCCGCGTGGATTTCTTGGATCTGCGCTGCAGGAAATCCGCGCGGCCCAGCAGCAGTTTGTGTTTACGCTGCTCTTTTGCTGCTCTAAGGAAGAAGCCTTCCCCCCTCCCCGCGCCGACAACCCCTGCCGTGGCGAGAGGACCTCCGGCCGACGCGCCTGGGCACGAGGCCCAAGGCCCCAACCCCTCCCTCTCGCGTGACGACAAAGAACACGACTGGATGCCTTTCGCTGTTTTCGGCCTCTCTGGGGCCCTTAACTACCGGGCCTCCGGAGCGTCAAAACCGGCTCGGGAGGAAAGACCGGTCCCAGGGAAGGGGTCAAGGCCCCAGGGGGGTCGACGTCGCGACAAACATCGCGACCTCGGGGGTCTGGGACGGGTTCGGTGTCGGAGCCGCGGATTCCGTTGGGAGGAGGGCGTAAGGAGGGCGAGGGGGGGAGGAGGGCGAGGGAACGAGGACAAGCCAGGTGCGCTCGCGTCACATGTGACATCCTGCTTCCTCCTCCTCCTCCTCCTCCTCCTCCTCCTCCTCCTCCCGCTGCGCTGTTGTTGTGTCCGGTATCCGCGGACGGGTGCCGTATCGCGGGCCCGAAACAGCTACCCGCAAGGACCCTCTTAGCGGCACGCGCAGTCACGAGGTAACAGTGGCAGCAGGAGCAGAAATGGGAGAGTTGGGAGGAGCAGGGTGACGAGGTGAAGGGTGGGGTTACGTCGGGCATGTCCCTCTGCCGGGGGAAAAGCCAAAAGCAGTGAAACAAACAGTCTGGAGACGATTTGTCTAGTATTGGCTGGCTATTTTGAGGTATTAGTTTGACTAGTTTTATTTGTCGTCCAAAAGCCCTCCTGTAGGGGGATATGCCCAACCTCTAAGGCTGGGGATGGGAAAGGAGCGGCCCGTCAACGCCGAGGACGCACTCGGATACAGAATAGTGTCCCGCACTGGGGCGAGAGCGCCCTTTTGGACACTGGGAACACAGGGCCGCTGCTACAATGAGGCCCACGCTGCAGCGGCAGCACCTTTTGACACACTGTTAACGTTCCGATCGAGAATCGAGGCACGCATTGGAAAGACCAACAAAGGACATCCGGTGGAGCAAAAACAATGAGCGGGAAGGGAAGTTCCCGCACAGAGTAAGGGGAGACGGAGGAGTAGTATGCACATCAAGCTAGGTGCGCTCGCGCCATATCTGACATCCCAGCCTTCCCATCCTTCCAATAGCGCTGTTTTTGTTTGTTCTATCTGCAGACGTGTGTCAGAACGAACTGGAGATCGGCGCAATCGGTAATGGAGAGTTACGTAAATTGGAGGATTAGTTGGTAGATGAGCAAGATGGTATGCAGGAGGAAATGGAAGAGGAGAGGTGGAGGAGGAGGACTGAGGATGAGGTGGGTGGACGACGAGGATGAGCAGCAGCAGCATGAGTTGAGTAGAAGGAGCGGGAGGAGCATGAGGACAAGGATATGGCGGAGGGGGACGACACCGACCGGGAAGTAGTCGGGGCCAGAAGATCGGCTCGCGCTAGGACGCGAGTGCCATCCTGAATGTGTGGGAGCAAAGCGCCGATCCCAAAACAAGGCCTGCTCTGCAGCGGCAGTGCCATGTTGAAGGACCGAACCCTAACGGATTGTGAAGCACCATCGGGGAACATAAACCATGCAGTTTTGCGCAACAACAAACAAGGAAGCTTGAGAGGGGGAGGGGCGGCGGGATCTTCCCTGGCCGTCTTCGGGGGAGAGAGGATGGTAGTCTTCCCTGCGAGTAGGTGCTCCGCAGTTGTGGAGGATCGATGAGGAGGAGGAGGAGGAGGAGGAGGAGGAGAAGAAGAAGGAGGAAGAGAAGAACGAGGAGGAGGAGGAGGGGGAGAACGAGGAGGAGGAGGAGGAGGAGGAGGAGGAGAGGTGAAGCGGGAGGGTGAGGCTAGATGGGAGCAGGGGGAGCGGCGAGGCGGGGGAAAAGAGGGGCGGAACGCGGCGGAGGGAGGAAGACGTGGGGGGGGGGGAGGGCGAGGAGTTGTAGGAGGCTTGGGAGGGCGAGATGGGGGAGGACGAGGAGAAACAGACGTCGGAGGAGGAGGACGAGGAGGAGGAGGAGGAGGAGGAGGAAGAGGAGGAGGAGGAGGGGGGAGGAGGGGGTTGGGCGGGCGGGGCAGGCTGAGGGGGGGGGGGATGGGGATGGCATTTGGAGGAGGGTGGCGAGGTGTGGGGGGGAGAACTCCTCACCTCGGTCGCCTCATCGATCCCTCTTTCGCTCGGTGCGCTCTTCCTTGGTCGAGGGAGCCCCCTCCCCTCCGTCCCTCCCTGCCTCCCCGCCGTGGCCCTCCCCCGTGCTCTTCTCGCAGCGGGCTCGTTCGAAAGCTTCAGGGGGCCTCGGGGGCTTCGGGGATGTTCTGGTCCTTCAGGTGGCCTCATTGTGCCCTTCAGCTCCTTCCCTGGGCATCTCACTCCCCCCTACCTGGTTGTCGTTCTCGCTCGCCGCTGAATGCCCCATTCTGCCTTCTCTCTGTGTGTGTATCTATATATATATATATATATATGTGTATCTCTGTATCGTTGGAGCTTCAGGGCATCAGCATGAGAGCCATGTTGCGGTTCAGTTCGGTGGTCGGGAATGGGCCCGATTGGTAGGATGCCAGATGTGGCGCGAGCCTTGCTTGCCCTCTGCATCCTCCCCTACATTCACCCTCCCCGCCTCTGCTCCCCCGTCCATACCCCCATGGTGAGGAGAGGGGGACTTGTAGGTGTCACCTCCTCTTTCTCCCTTCCCCTCTCGTCCCTCCCCGTTGCGTTCGCCATCTCCGCTCACATCCATTTCTCCCCCCCCCTCTCCCGCTAATCCCCCCCCCTTCCCCTGCCACTCCTGGTCCTCCGCTTCCCCTCCCTGCTGCCGCTTCCCGCCCCCATGCCGTCCTTTGCCCGCTCCCCGCGCGTCCTCCTCCATCTGTTCCTCCCCGCTCGTCCCTACAACTCATGTCACCCCCCCGCCCGCGAGGACTTGAAGAAACTGAACAAGAACAAGAAGCTCGTCAAGAAGCTGGCGCAGTCTTTCGACGGCTTCCTGGCCTCGCAGGTGCTGATCCCGCAGATCCCCAGGCGGCCCCGCGTCGGACGGGCCACCCTCCCGCCGCCCTTCCCCCCCTCATCCACCTTCTCCTTCCTTGCTCTTCCCCCCTTTTCTACAATTACACACTATGAATACGCCTCTCCTCTCTCCCCGGGCTCTGTCTGGAGATTGGCCCGTCCGATCCGCGTGTTTTTTACATTCAGGATGTCCTTGTTGTTGTTGATGGTGCTGTCGTTGTTGTTGTTGTTGGTGTTGTTGTTGTTGTTGGTGTTGTTGTTGTTGTTGTTGTTGTGGTTGGTGGTGGTGTTGTTGTTGTTGTTGTGGTTGGTGGTGGTGGTGTTGTTGTTATTGTTGTTGCTGTTGTTGCGGTTGTTGCTGTTGTTGGTGTCGTTGGTGTTGGTGTTGGTGTTGTTGCTGTTGGTGGTGGTGGTGGTGTTGTTGTTGTTGTTGTTGGTGTTGGTGTTGGTGTTGTTGTTGTTGTTGTTGTTGTTGTCGTTGTCGTTGTCGTTGTCGTTGTTGTTGTTGTTGTTGTTGTTGCTGTTGTTATTGTTGTTGTTGGTGGTGTTGTTGTTGTTGGTGTTGTTGCTGTTGTTGGTGTTGTTGTTGTTTATGTTGTTGTTGTCGTCGTCGTCGTCGTCGTCGTCGTCGTCGTTGTTATTAGTGTTGTTGCTGTTGTTGTTGTTTGTCCCCTCGGTGCTTGTTCAATCAAGTTATGCCTGGCTCTTCCAAACGGGTGTTCCCGCTGCAGCGCCGCCCTCATTTCCGCGCTTCGGTCGTTCCAAATCGATCGTGCTCCCGCTGCAGCACTGGCCTTGTTCCCGCCCCCCCAGACGACACTTGGCATTCGAAAGCGCCCACATCGGGCAGGCACAGTTGCGGAGGACATAGAACCGACATTCTGGACAGGCCTTGTCTTCTCGTAGATTGGCCACTTACCCTCCAAGTCATTGATGTTGTGTTGTGCACCATTGTGCGATTCCATGCTTTGCGCTGCTATGCTTTGTGATGCAATGCCACGCCATGCTATGGCAACGCCACGCCATGCTACGACATGCTTCACTAAGCCACGCCACGCCATGCTATACGACAATGCTGTGCTTCACTACGCAATGCCACGCCATGCTATGTCATGTCATGCTTCGCCGTGCTCTTCTTCGCCATGCTTTCCCATCCATTGCGTACCCTCTTGGAACCATTGCTCTGCTCGACATCCAACCATGCGAATAGATAGGATATCTGCGTCAAGGTATGTGATGGGAGGGAGGGGTATGCCTATGACGTCTCATGTGATGCTAGCGCACTTAGCTTGTCTCCCCCCTTCCCCTTCGGTTGCGGCTAGAAGCTCATATCGGCTTCGTCTAGAAACCGACCACTGGTGAGGAAGAGGCTTCTACATACTCCCTGATTTGCAGATCTGCAGCTTGCTGGTCCCAATTATACACTTTGTCAGGTGATGTGTAGAAGCACAGTCCGTTTTGCCATTCTACACACTTCTGCTTCAAGTGTGAAGTGTGCGTTTATGTTACACACCTTTGTGTGATGTGTAGAAGCTACGTGCCCTGATGTGTAGAGCTGGCTCGCCGAAGACAACATACACGTATCCACCGATGTGTCGCGCCTGGCTTCTGGTCCTGATCCCCAAAAAGTTTGAGGGAGCACAAACAACCAAACCTCCCCCCTCCCTCCGCACCCTTCCACCCCTCTCCTCCCCCTCCCTTCTGCTTCCCGCTTCTTGCCTTGCCGCCTCGAGCCCCCCCCCGCCCGCCGCGCTCGCGCGGCGGAAACAGAGAGAGAGAGAGAGGGTGATAAAGAGAGAGAGAGAGAGAGAGAAAGAGAGAGAGAGAGGCCACCCACGGGGAGCGCCGCCCTGCCTCGGCGACCCCTGGCCGACGCGGCGCACGTGCTCGCTTCCCCCCCTCTGCCTCCTGCTCCTGCTCCTCCTCCTCCTCCTCCTCCGCCTCCTCCCCCTCCTCCCCCCCCCTTCCCCTCCACCTCCTCATCCGCCCCCTCCTCCTCTGCCCCCCCCCCCCCCGGGGCCGCCGCCCTGCCCTCCTGCTCGTCCGGGACGCACGACAGCAGGGGCCCTCGGGAGGGAATCGGAGCTTGGATCCATGATCCTCAGGACGAGTGTTAGCCCAATGGGTGTTTGCCCCCTTCGGCTCAACCTGCAGATCATTGCATCGCCTGCGTCGTATCGAAGGGCCTCGATGGACAAGCACACGCGGAGGCTAACACACGTTCTGAGGATCATCGATTGGACGCGTTCAGGTTCGCGGTGCTCTCCAGCATCTGCGCCTCGCCGAGAGGCGTCCCAGGGGTGCCCGGATATCGTCCCGCCTGGCGGACGGAGACCCGAGTTATGGCCCGAGAACCGGACGGCACCCTCCCCCTCAAGAGGAGGAAAAGGCACCGATACAGTTCCCCCCCAGGAGGAGGGAGGAGTAGGAGGAGGAGGAGGACGAGGACGAGGACGAGGACGAGGATGATGAGGAGCATCAGTTTCGCCTCTCTGAATCTCCGTGGAGACCCTCGTCGCCACGGTTGGACTCGCTGTCGAGGTCCTGGTCAGAGCTTGGGAAACCACAGGGTACAGCGTCATCGGCATCTCGCGTTTTCCTCGGTCCACACTCCCTCCGCAGAGCCGCCGCCCCCGTCCCCTCCTTCGTCCCTTCTTCGCTCTGGAGGGGTAGGAGGATCAATGGCACGGCGCCATTGGGATCCTCGAAAGACAACACCATATGCATTATCTATTGGCGCTCCGCGCGGATTTCTTGGATCCGCGCTGGGCCCCTCCCCGGCGGCGCCTCCAAGGAAGGGGGTCCAGCGCAGATCCAACAGATCCGCGCGGAGCGCCAACAGTTCATGTGTATGGCATACCTTGTTCTTCTAGAGCCCGTCGGCATGGTATTCTTGCTTTCGTGTCCGAAGGCGTGGTGCTTCTCTGGCTGAGGCTCGGCGACGTGTTCCCATGGCGGCGTGCCATCGATATTGTTCCAGTTGCCCCGCTCTTTCCCTCCTCCACTCCGTCGTCCCCATCCTCCCCTCCGCATCCCTTTCCCTCCTTCGCCCCCCCTCCCCCTCACACTCGCTCTTCTCGCCGCCGGAGCCCCGTGTGTGCACGCCGCGCTTCGCGAGTTCTGGGTCCCCAGGCCTAGCCACGGGTTCACCAGCTCTCGGCAGATGTTGAGGCCAAGGATTGCTTGATTGGAAGCTCTTGCTCTTCTCATTTGCACAGGGTCCTAGCGTGGTCGTATATGTAACACCCTCCCCCTCACTCCCCCCTCCCTCTCCCCTGGCGTGCCCGGCGCTTGCTTATGGTAGCGGATGTACATGTATCATTTGTATGTGCAGTTTTGTCCTGGGTGTCAGAAAAGCAATTCACGGGTGTTAAGTTGTGTGTTCGGATGGGTGAACACATGGATGCTTGAAACTAACACGAATAATTGAGTTGCACGACCAGAGAATGCGGCAAACGCAAATGATCAATTGTAAGCGAACGCGGTGCGCTTCATTCGCGCATTCTTGCTTTCAACCATCCGAACGCCCATCTCTACATCCCTCTCCTCCCCAAGAGTTCCGCGACAGCGCTGACCATTCAAGGCATCATTATCCTCAAAAAACACCTCCCCCCACCTTGCCCTGCCCGCCCAGGCTTTTGGGCCCCGGCCTCAACAAGGCCGGCAAGTTCCCGACCCTGGTCGGGAGGGGAGTTCGGGCGAGGCCGGGACGAGGATCAATCCATTCCAGGGCGTTCCCGTGAGCGGTGAGTCGGTCGCGCAGTTGGAGTGGGAGGGTTGATGGGAAGGGGGGCAGAGGAGAGCGGGTGTCGGCGACGAAATTTTTGGGCGCGAATTCATGGGGGGGTGGAAGAAATCTGCCCTTTTCGGTCCCGGAAGGCTCCCTTCTCGGGCCCGGCCTGGAGGGCCCCTTTGGGGGGCCCGGAGGGCTCCAGTTCTGCAGCCCCCTCGCTGCCATCGCCCCCTCATTTACGCGCCCCCCAAAAAACCGAACCCTACTCTCGCCGATCAACGATTCAGGCAGCTCGATGGGCGCGGGGGGGGAGGTCCGGAATGCGTCTTACACGTGGACGAAGTTCGAGCCCTAACCTTAGGTAGTTAGTAAGACCTCCCCCTTTCGGCAAAAGGATCAGACTTCCCGCGCTGGTAAGCGTTATCCCGGCACCCGCCGTCGGTAGGAGGATGAGGAGGAGGAGGAGGAGGAGGAGGAGGAGGAGGAGGAGGAGGAGGAGGAGGGGGGAGGAGGAGATCTCCGTCGCTTCCAAAATGTGGCTCTCGGTTGTGGCGGGGAGGTGGAGAATTTGTCTTGATTTATGCTGTTTGGCGCGGTGCTACAGTTATCGTTCGACTAGAATCCCCTTTGGAAATGAGTAATATTGGTGCGGTTCTACGGATAAACCTGGGGGGGGGTGTTCTTATTCATTGCCTGAGGTTACCCCCGCGGGAGGAAAAGGGCGATCTGTGCGAATCTGCGGGCGTTCAGAGTGCGGCCAGCAGAGCACGGACCGGACGGCCAGGCCAGGGAGGCAGGTGGATTGCAGCAGGAATTGCCCCATCCTTTCCTGCCACCTTTTTTTCCAGACAGCCCAGGCTGAGTTTGCTCGACCTAGGCTCCCGATCGTGGCTCGTACCCCCTGGCGGAAAATGAAAGGGAGGGGACAAATGCCTTCACAAATCGGCACTCGTCACGGCACATGTGGCCGCCGTTGCCACAGTTGCACAGTCGTCGTCGAATGAAATTTGCTATGCGCAGCAGCAGGGTCTTGAGGAAGTCTGAAGGCAGCGGCATCTTCATGACATTCATCGCCAGGGACATTGGGCGCATGGGGGCGAGGGGGTGGTGGTGAAGGTGGAGGATGACGAGGAGAACGATGTGGACGAGAAGGACGAGGAGGGCGGGAGAGAAGGGGGGAGAGGGCGGAGGTGGAGGTGGTGGAACGGATGGAGGTGGTGGAAATTGCGGAGGAGGGGTGATGGAGATAGTTTTTTTTTTGACTGCACTTGGCTCGTTGCAAGTAGCTTGAGTTGGGTGGCCGAGGTCGGCCAGGCGGCAGACAGAGCCCGCCTAGCGGGCACAACAAAGGATCTCCGCTCCTGGTCCGTCCGCAGGCAAAAGCGATTCTTCGCCATTGGACCTGCATGTTGGGCGGGGGAGGTATTGGCACCGAAGGGGAGGGAGGGGGAATACTATGAAGAGAGGGGATCGGTGCCGTGCGAGAATCACTGAGCGCGCCATCTAGGCGTTGCCCTATGCGGGCAGCGCTGAACGACCGAAGAGCAGCAAAGCTGGCCTCAGGAACGGCCACCTGGGAGCATGGCTTAGCCATGGAAATGAGCGGGATGAGTCGGAAGAGGGCCAAAATGGCACTGCCGCGCTGTAGGGCGGCCGTGGCGGAGCGGACCAGGAGGGAGAGGCTGGCGTTGCCGCCAAGAGACTAGGAAGCCCCATCGGTAACTCACGTGACCGGAAAGGGGGCAGGTGAGAGAGCGCCTGTGCTGTGCTGGGCGTCTAGGTGTAAACGTGGTAAGAGGGGAGGGATGAACATATGGGAGGGAGAGGGATTATCTTGTCCAGCCAAGCAACGCTAGGGCGCGGTAGCTGTCCGTAGAGGTACGCACCTCTGATGGGCAGCATTCGCCGAGAATTACTCGGCAGGTGGGATGTGCTGAGGCGGCATCTTTGCTTGCCGCAGTATCGACTCGGCCGTGGCGAGTCTGCGAATTGCGCTGTGAGCATTGAGCCGACCGCTCTTCTGGTAGCGTGGCGGCTTAAAAGTGTCGCTATGGCCTGGCCGCAATGTAGCGGCAATAATGTGTGAAGCTAGAGACTGGTGCTGGCTACAGCACTTGAAGCTGGCCCTCGGGATGGGGCTAAAGAAATGAACTGAAGGGCCCGCTGCGACGAGACTGCAGGACGGCTCGGCCGACCTTAAATTGGAGCCGCATAGCTCCTCAGCTGGTGAGATACGGCTCGTGTGGTTGGCTAGGGCTATCTAGGTGGTGGGCTGCCGATGTAAGCAGAGACTAGGGTATTAGGCTAGCCCACCACCTATGAAGACTCAGCCGTGGCGAGTCTGCGAATTGAGCTGTGAGCATTAGCCGTCCGCCTTTCTGGTAGCGGGGCTATTTAAAAGTGTCGCGTTGGCTGCACTAGTGCGGCAGAGAGGTGTGCAGCTGGAGACTGGTGCTGACTACGACTCTTGCTGCGGGCCCTTGGCATGGGGCTGAATGAAAGAACTGATGGGCCCGCTGCGACAGGATTGCAGGTCGGCTCAGCCGATCTTAAATTGAAGCAGCACGGCTCTCCAGCTGTAAATATTCGGCCCGTGTGGCTGGCTAGGGCTGTCTAGGTGGTGGGCTGCCGAGGAGAACAGAGACTAGAGTATTAGGCTAGCCCACCACCTATTGGTTGCGCCGAGGTCGCCCGTGTCGACCTGGGATGGCGCCGGCTGGGAGGCAGCACGCTCTAGGGCCCGCTCATGCACCGCGCGGCTGCCGCGCGGCCGCCGACGCCGCCGTTTGCGCCCTGGCCTCCTGCGCTGCGGCCTGCTGCTGGCTGAAGTGGTCCAGCATCATGGTCTCGACCTCTGAGATGGTCGCCAGGCCTGCAGCCTCTATCCATTCCCAGTCCCAAGTTTCGACGACCTGGCCGTCGATGACGTCGAGCGACTTGAGCTTCCATACGAGCGGGTAGAGCATGCCGTTTGGCATCTTCCACTCGCCAGGGCACGTAGTTGGCCACCATTTTTGAACTCCTTGGTGGCGGCAGTGTACTGGGAGCCCTGCCATGCCGAGCCCGACCGCGTGTCGCCTGGTAGGCCGAAGAGCTCCAGCGCGTTGGGCGGCGCCCTGCCTGGCTCGGCCGCGGCCCCCTGCGGGGGCGTGATCCCCTCAGTCGCCGCCGAAGCGCGCCCGCCCGCAGGAACCACGGCTGCGTTGCGCGCGCTGAGAGGAGGGGGAGTGCGGAAGGAGCGAAAAGAAATAGCCCATAAGCCAACGGCCAGATATGAGTGAAACCTTACTGGCTTATGCGTGCGCCTGGGTGAGGAGGACCCTCCTGATGGGCCGACTGATGCATGCTTGGCCCGGTGCTGAGTCGATAGGGATGAGGATGGTTCCGCTGCGCATGTTGACCCGCGGCGAAAGGCCGGTGCGAAAAGGCATGCCCGTGCCGAATAAAATGGACCGTGCATCGGTCTCCTGAAGAATGGGGAGGTGAAAAAAGCGCGGCCTCTCCACTGAAGATGGCAGCCGGGTCTCCTGCCCGTGGAATTGCTCCATTAGGAGTCCTACATTGATGGTCAGTGGAGACCAGAGCGGAATGTGACCTGCCGTGATCACTACCAGCCACTGTACGACTGTAGGCTGCGGTGGCACGGCCTCAGTGGGTGCGCAGCGGACGTCGCCGTGCTCGAACTGTGGCAGGTGCTGCGCATCTGGGGTCGGCATGGCCTGTGAGGGGCTATGGTTCAGGGAGGCGGAGGATTCGAGAGAGGTAGGACAACGGAAGGCAAAAAGGCCGCACCAGGATCATGGCCTGGAAGTCAATTAGGATGGGGCTGCCAGCCGCTGCGTCCTCCAAAAGACGTTGAGGGATGAGAGCAGGCTGTTCCCAGGCCCCCGCGTGGAGGAGGTCCAGAAAAATCTGGTCGGGCACGTAGACAGTGACCAAACTTATAGCGGGTGAGAAACGGGCAGCATAGGGGCCTTCACCCGCTGCGCGATGAGGATAAATGTGGAGTAAGTTGGGAGAGTTGGCCTCGCACCAACGCCCATACCACCGCTCGACTGTGTGATTAGCGACATCGGGCAAGTCCATGTGGAGCTCGGGGCCTACGGTAGCGCGGGCGTGTGGCAAAGCAGGCGGCCCGCTCTCGAGCTGCCATGTAGCTTGCCACTGGGGTACCGAGGCAGGCTGGTACACAGCGGTAGGAGACAGTAAAAGAGCGTGGCGCCTCGAGCCGCCGCTGAGAAAGCGGTGGACTTGCTGGTGGGCCAGGAGAAGCCGCTCAGCCAAGTACTCCCAAAAGGGCCATGCGCTGCGAAAGTCTGGGGGCAGCTGCTCCATAATGCGGAGCAAATCTAGGTGCCTCCCCGGGGCCGCTTCAGCAGCGGGCATGTCCTCGTCTGCGTCGGCGTTGCCCAAGGTGCTGAGCTCGCGCATCATGGCCTGTGGGGGGAGAAGCGAAGGAAAGGAAGCTGCGAGAGGAAAGGAGGGAAGAGGTTGGCCTGGGCTGAATTACAGCTGCATGGCGTAAGTTTAACGCCTGGCGGCATCTCCTCCTTCATGAGGCTTGCGCGGCCGCCTGGGCGAGAGGCGCTGACCGCAATGCGAGAGGCTTTCGCCTTCTCTTAACTGAAGTTCGAGGCGCTCCCTGTGTATCCTGTCGATGTGGAGCTGGTCCTGCCCATGCTCCTCTTTGAGCTGGGCAATCCTATTCTCGTGCGCCTTGAGGACTGTACTGCGCTGCTCGTCCGATGCTGCGTCTGGCGCTTCGGCAGGCGAGTGCGGGCGCGGAGCAGCATGGGCAGCGCGGTGAGACTTGCGAGCCTTATGGCGCCTTGGAGGAGGAGAGGCTGGAGGCGAGGCCGTGCCGTGGAATGCCTGCGGGCTGCTTTGAGCCTCGGCTGGTCCGCGGCGCTGTGGCGCCGGCTGCTTGAGTGCACTCTTGCGCGGCTC